TGTTTGCTGGTATGCTGTTGAGAGTCAGTGGATTGTGGCAGGGTTGGGGCAAAGTACTTTGAAAAGTACTTAAGTAAAATCCAAGTACATTTACAAAATACTTAAGTATAAGTACAAGTACATGATCGCTTTTGACAAAAGTACTTAAGTATAAGTACAAATACTTGGATATGTACTTAAGTATAAGTGTAAATACTTTTTAGAGTCGATTTAATTATATTACTATCAATTACTATTACATGTAATGAACATTAATCTTCAAAACATGAGCTCCTGTTCAGTTACAATTAGAAATAAGTGAAGAGACTAGCCAACTACCCAGCTAAAGACAAAGTAGTGATACTAGAATTTGCACTTGCTTTCTGTGATACACTGATATAGTATTGAAAGTACATGTAATCACACTAGCTGTGGTAATAATATACACATTATACAATTTGTGCTTAAAAAGACTTAAAAGTACTTAAAAGACTTATAAGTACGTGAAGTACATCAAGTACATAGACTAATACTTAAGTATAAGTACAAGTACATTGGTAAAATTTAAAAAAGACTTAAGTATAAGTACAAGTACCAAAAAATATGTACTTAAGTGTACTTAAGTACAAGTACCAATGTACTTCGCCCCAACCCTGGATTGTGGACTAAAGGGGAAACTGTCAAGAGTGGAGTGCATGGTGACTGGCTCTACCAGGGTAAGAGGTTCATTAATAATTATGATTATTTTACTGTGTATGTACATATGTACAATACACACTGTTACTTTTGTAGACCTGTTTGATGCATGACATTATAATTTATTGACATTGTTATTTTGCATGTACAATTACAATTACAATTTTACATGTCTGTAGATTGTGTTTAGATCAGCCTCATTGCAATTCTTCCTATTCATGCAATTCAGTTCAGAGATATGGGAGTTGGATCCCAATGGTTAGTTACTGTATCCTCATTGTGCTAGTACATATTACTAGTGTTTAGGTGATACTTTGATGAAGCAGTTGATGGTTTTTGAAGGATCTCTTCTTCGTTTGGAAGGTACAGTACATGCAGTGTGTGTATTGATGGACACATTCATTGCACATGAACATTCTCCTATTATGTTGTACATGTTCTTTTCACTGTATTTCATGAGTTTTACTTTAAGCATAAAAACATAATTCACATTATTTCTACAAATAAATGTATAATTCTTTCTCTTTGTCTTTGTCTCTCTTCCTCTCTCTCTCCCCCTCTCCCTCATTTAGGTGTGATTCCATTGATAAACTCCGTAAAAGGTGTGAGACCATTAATTGAGAGATACAGGACTCACAACAGTTCAAGGACCTCTACCAGTTTATGTTTAATGTTGCCAAAAACTCTGGCAGAAAGGACTAGGCTAGTGGCATAATATTATACATGTACATCAACATGTAGGATCATGTTTGCTTAACTTGCCACACAATGATTTCAATGTACACGTGTTGATGGGGGAATTTTGCAAGTGATCCTACTAAAATTTGAGAGTACAAATAAAGGCCGGGCTTGAATAAACGCCTGGTACTAAGAATTTCCAAGTATAGATACGCATATTTTGCTCAATATAAGTACCACAATTTTTAGAGTGTCCCAAATGGCCTCATTTGTTAAGCTGAGTGCAATGAACTTGGAGGTCTGGGTTCGAATCTCAGATTTACTTTTTCTTTTTTTATTTTACGCAATTTTTTTGTCCTGGAAAAAAATAAACACCTGGGCTTTTATTTGAACATTTACAGTATATTGTATGAATTGATTAAAATCTTTTGTGCTTTTTATTTCTCTACAGATCTTGAGATGGCCATTGCCTTCTGGAATCTTATTTTTACTGGTCGCTTCAAATTTTTGGACTTGTGGTGTGAATTTTTAAGAGTAAAAAATACTTGTAATTACATGTAAAGGTTACATTTCATCTCACTCTTCTCTCTCTCTCTCCCCCTCTCTCTCTCAGTCTCATTATAAAAGAGCTGGAAATACCCAAAGACACTTGGAACCTTCTGCTAGAGTTTTCAAATACGATTGATGCACCATGAGCAATTATGATGAAGATGGTAGCTCTATACTGTATTAATTGTAATGTCCTCCTCTTTAAATAATTTATTTTGTACAGCACTTTAATGTATGGCAGCTTTATTTCTTTGTAAATTTTTTGATGATTTTATGCATATACATGTACAGCACTTAACTATGAACATGTACATGTACATTAATGATTATATGGTGGGTTTATTATTCATAGGTCAGTCTACACTCTAACTACATGTGTATATGTACATGTACAATGTATAGGTATTTCTTGTCAGGGGTGGATCTAGGATTTCATTTTTGGGGGTGCAATTATGAGTTGGGTGGAGTAATTAGGGTGTTATACCGTACAGAAGGAAATTTTGGAGGGACTAAATTTTGGCGAATTGCTAAATTTTGGTGATTGGCGAATTTTAATTTGGCAAATTTGTGGCCACGTGCCATTGAGCATGCGTATAATGGCTCAAAATGGCGAATTTTTATTTTGGCGAATGGCTATCAAAACGCCAA